GGCTAAAATCCTTGTCTTTGCCATCTTTGTTTTCTGTGTACAGATACTTTCTAACACATATGAACAATGAAACGTATCAGCTGCAGTCTGAAGACCTGCCCTTCTGAAGGGACTGTTTCTTCCTGTTTGCACTGGCCCCAAGGATAATTTGTTGTGTTGTGTGGTGTTGTCTGTGATATGTTTCCCTGGAATAAGAATGGTAGATTCTGGTAATCTAATAATTCTTTATTTGCAAAGGTAGATGGTTGAAAACTCAGCATGCTTGTAGGAGTAAGAAAGAGGCTCTTGACCCACCTTTCCCTATGAAACAAGAAGGATGGTTATATTTGGCAGACTGTGCTGTAGAGAGAGAAAAAATGTATTGGCATGTGCTGGTAAGAAAGCGACTGAACATTCTGGGCATCTTATTTTGAGTCTATTGTTGACAGTTGCTTCAGCATATCTCAGAAGTTTGAGCATGAATGTGAACATTAAATGCATAGCATTCATGTTTGTTGAAATGCTTAGTTTTTTGTTAACAGCAAGAGAACTGTACCTATAACCTTTCTTGTATAAAAATATTACATACAACATAGGTTTTTGATGTGTAATATTTGACAAAAACGTAGGTGTGTCTTTTGAGCACATCAGAAATTTCTGGAATCCTTTTACCAGAATTTGCCAAAAATGTTTTAAGCCACTGGTTAGTGATGATCAGAAAAATCAATATACTTACTGTGTGTTCAACAGTCAATATATGTGACTTGTATCGGATACATAGAATAGGGAAGGAACCGTATGTGATTTGTATCGGATACATAGAATAGGGAAGGAAAACATATGGCTCACTAAGCTGTGTTGAATCTTCACAGTGGTTTTGTCTATGTTACATATTCCATATTTTGGATCTAGACTGGGATTCCACAGGGGAAAATTGTTTTGTGGTCACGCATTATAAAAGGTTATGCATTTGACTACTGTCTGGTTCTAGTGAACCCAAAGACAATCATTACAACTGCTAGGATCTAGGACATTTTCTGTTAGATGTTGAAGGAGTTATTGGGGGAATAATAGGTATGTGAAGGATAAACTTGTATGTAGTAGCCTTAAGCATTCAGCTTGCCAGCGAGAGAGTTATGTGGAGTTGTCTGTTTTGGCCTTTTAAAGTAATCATTCTCTGTGCACATCTGGTAGTGCTGGAATTTGGAAGTTTTAGCATCTGTTCTGTACAGATGTAAAGGGCCCCAGGGAGCAGTCGTTTACTTTGTGGAGAAATCTGTGTGGGTAGACCCAGTGGGGCTAATAGGGGCTTCCCTGGCACTGTTTCAGGTTAGGGGAAGAGGTTGTCTCTCTCTATCTTGGCTCTGCTCCGAATTTGGTCCTTGTGCACCTGGGAATTAATTTCTGATCTTGGAATTCCTAGCACACATATGAGACCCCATGGCAGATACAAGAGGTTGTAACATATGAATTGACACTTGGATTTAAATATTGGTATGGCGTAGCTTTTCATGGGGTAGACCCCATTTTATCAAATGCACACAATGAATTCTTAATCATGATTTATATTCACAAAGGGGGATTTTTGTTTTCAAACAGGTTGATATGCCAAGTTGATTTTTGATCTATACGTTTTTCTGTGTTGCAATTATTATTTATGACATTTGTAATGAATATGAGTTACATTAAGCAAGTTAACACCTATAGAGACTGAGGAAGTCAGCAGACCTATTCATGTATTGATTTGAATCCTATTGAAGTTTCTTTGTTGAAGGTTTTATGGTTGGGAAACAGTTTCGTGGCAAATTAGTATCTTCTTTTTTAATGTTGTCACTTTGTGCATCATGCTGTATGATAAGCAGGTGACCGAACCCCTGGTGGCATTGGTGATGTTAGATCCTGTCATACTGTTCCCTGAATGGGTGTAGGGGTAGAGTTGGTATGTGGGCTTGTTGCAGATCTGATCCCTGTACTGATGGCTCCATTATGTGTTTCAGTGTTGCTAGTGTATAATTGAGATAAGGGGTCATCTCTTAGCAGTGCGAAGCCTACCATCCAAGGCCTGTGAGAAAAGTATCCTTGTTCAGCGTGGGCTGTAATCATTCATGATACTTTGCTGCAACAGAGTAACTTGGCTTCCCACTGGAAATAAATCACATAGGTTAATATTGGGTCCAACCAGGACCTGTCTACAAAAAGTGTATTGTGGCTACCAGCTGGGAAAGAAACCCTATCCCAGACCATGAGAATTAAATTAATATAAAAATAATTAATGTATGTAGTAAAATTAATGTATCTGTATATAATTTTCTAAAATAAAGACATTGTTGAATATTTGAGAAACTTTGTGCAGCCTCTGACCTTGTTTTAAATTAGATAATTAAATAATAAGGCTTTAAAATAATTTTAAATAATTGTTTTTATAGTTACAACCACCAATTAGTGTCGACTTTTATTTAGTAAGTATCTAATGAATGGGTAGGTGAGAAGGCCAGTAAATACTAAACTTGGGGGGTGGGGTTTTTTCACTTGAATGCCTAAAGGTCGACAAACTTGGCATCATGAACATTTCTATGGAAAGGGGCAGTATAACAGGAAAAGCTCCCTCCCTGGTGTTTGCTTACCTGACACACAAAGCTCTTCCTTTGGTGCTAATGGGCCGATTCCTATGGGGAATATAGGGTAGTATAGTATGAACCACAGCATTCTGTAGCAGCTGGAGTTTCTGAATTCTCCTCAAGGGCCAACCTATGAAGAGGCCATTATTACTACAATAACATGCAGCACTTTGAATTGTACTCAGAAGCAAATAGGTACACAAGTGTAGATTGCGTAAAACTAGTAAGGGAAGTTCTTGATCACTCATGTCTGCCACGAGCCTCACGGCTGCATTTTGAACCAGTTCTGGTTTCTTCTGAGCAGTCTTCAACCATGTAGAGTGCCTCAGAGTTGTCTAACATGAATGCTGTTGGAACACTGATCTGATCCGCAGTTGACAGACACATCAGTTACATTTGGCTAAAGGTGTTCCATGCCATGTGTGACTTGCACCACCGCAGATCTCCTCAAATGGCAGGCTTCTTCCTTCAGGCGGAGCACCCGGAACACGTTAAAACTGCAACCCCTGAGTGACTGTATTATCAACTAACAGTTTCTCAGTCTGATCTGTACTGCACATTCAGTTTTGGCCCTCATCTTGTGGGACTCCTCCAACTCTGCTCTGGCCTTGGCCAACTGGATTGAGGGCATTGTGTTTAAAATGTAGTATATTACCTTAGAGATTTCTGTGTATTACTTTAGAGATTTCTGTATCGCTCACATAAATATCCAGTTTTTCCAGTACCTAGTTTTGATCATGATGCTAAATATTACTGGATTAAAAACAACAAGAACAAGGTGCTGACTGTCTTAGCTTTCGTTTAGAGTTTAGTAGAATATTCTTTCAAAATAAAGCAAGTAATGATTAGCCAATGTTTTTCCCTCTTCCTTCTGGCAGATCTTTTAAAATTGCATGATGTGTGATGAGCTGGAGAGTCTTAACAGGGAGATTGAGAGGTTATTACAGAGCAGCACCATGGAAGAAAGCTCTTTAAACTCAGAATCTCTTCACCCATCAGCCTCTGATTCCTGCGATGTAGTCACTGCTTCAGGCAATGAATCACAAGGCAGTTTAGTGAAGGTATTCTGCATACCTGAATGTTGTTGCAGGGCTCTCAGGATCACTCTGCATTTCCTTTGTTTGACTTCCTCTAAATAGCATTTATTTAGAAGGCCATCATGGATAGATGTTAACCCGCACTTATCCATATGCAGATTTTTTTATATGAAGATATTCACGGAGGATTAGATTTTGACCACCAGTTCTCATTTTAGCTGAGAGGATGCAGCTTAAATTGCTTTAATATGCTTTCCCCTTAATAATAACAATTATGGTCTTTTAAAGGGAAGTGATAAGCAGAGGTAATTTGCCATTGCCTTCCTCTGCAGCGCAGCCCCAGTCTTCCTCACTGGTCTCCCACCCAAATTCTAACCGTGTCCGACCCTGCTTAGCAAGTTAGCATCTGAGCTCCCACGAGCTGAGATAAGGCTAGGCTGGGTTTTCAGACTGCTGCCTTTCCCTTAAGTCAGCAAATGAGTCCTGTCCCCGTGGTCTTTTGAACCAGTTAGAGAGAGTAACAGTGCTTTCTACGTGGCAGAACATTTGGATACAATAAGAGACAAGGTTATTTGTAAAAACAATATTTTGGTAGTCATTTAAAGATATTGTTTGTGTCAGCAGTCTAAACAGTATCTTAGTTTGAGTTAGTGTTGTTAGTTCTCAGTGCTTAGTAACAAATCACTCATGCTGCACTTCTGGTTGCTGGCCTTAAGGATGAGAGATGGTGTTAGAATCTTTAGGATTTTGATTTGTGGTGTTTGGGATTTGTCAGTTAAAAGAACTGACGGAATGTGGGTTAGTGATGAAAAGAAACTGACAGGAAGAGCAGGATAAGGCAAGCTTGCAAAGTAAGCGAAGTGTAGAACAAATTCAGTTCTTAAGGTTTTAAAAAATAGTCTATTAAATATGGTGTTTATGGTGTAGTGTACGTTGGGAAGTTAATATTATTTATCTGTTTCATAAATGGTGATTCTGGGACTCACGTAAAGACAAAGAAATCCAAGGAAGAATCTGTAATGGATAACTGATCATGGTTCTGCTTGATTTTTGCAGAGGTGCCTAGTCCAGTTCTCTTCTTACAGAAAACTGGTGGAGGAAAAAATACAAAAGATGCTGTCAAGTACAGCAATAAGAAATAGATAATATGTTACAGATTCTTCCAAGTCTATATATGTAATGAAATGACATTTAGAATTGCCCTTTTAGAAATACTTATGTGGGGATTTTAATGTTCTGAAATTGCTGTGCAGTTTGTTAACTTGAAATTGGTTAGTTGATAATGCACGTGAGGAAAAATGTAAACTAATTTTCCTGTAACAGGCAGCCTTATCAAGTGGAAGATTGGTGGTTGTTGAGTCTTCTAAATGGCGCCAGGAAGATCCTCGTGCTTCTGAATTCCCCAGGACAGGTAATGCTGTAGGGATTATGCTGAGTGATTCTGACTTCCTGCTGCCCTCCAGTGACTCTTCTTTTGGCTGGAGTCCAACCACTGAAAAAATCCCAGCAACCTCTGTGTCAGGTAAAAGCATCTAGAGGACACTGGAAACCCTTCCGTTCCTCTAAACTTCTCCTGGAGTTTTGGATTCCTCAGCTGTCCTCCTCTTAACCTTTCTTCACATGCCAAGGTAAACAGCTGCACTGGCATGTTCATTACTACTTCTGCTGTATTATGATCTCTTTCACATTAATTTCTCATTTCCAACAAAAATTCTATTGTAATTTTTAAACCAGCCAGTCTGTAGCTCCACTCACATTGCTCTTTAACGTGTGCCACCTAACCTAGCTCAAAGGGCAGGGGGGTGGAATGAGGCAGGAACGACCGATTATAGAAATTCAAACTGAGTTTGGAGAGAGTGGGGAAAAGTGGGTTTCCGTAGAGCAGAGTATCGTACTAAGGAATCATTTCATATAGTTCTTGGGTCCTTGACAGATCTTCCATTTGACATCCTTTGAGGATGTGTAGGGCTTAAAAGTGGTAAGGTCTAGCTTTATTTTGTAATTTGAGGTTCCTTAGCTGAAAATGCTATGTGCCCCCCCCCCCCAAAAAAGGTCACAGATCTTCCTGGCCCTAATGTGACAGGTGAGCAAAGGTCCTATTCCTTTCTAAAATACATCAATCCCCATAGTCCTGTTTGATGTATAAGCAGAGCAGCTAACAGCCAGTTAAGATCCCTGGAAGGGCTACAGGAGGCAGTGTGTGGGGGGGAACAAGAGAGGTGAGGCCTTTACACTGAATGGTCAGGCAGGCAGGGTCCGAACTTTCAGAGGAAGAGAGAGGGTGGCGGGATCCTGTCTCAGAGTTTGCCTCATATATAAGTATGCTAAACCAGTGAGTGTCTGGAGCAGTGTTCCCTCTGAGCTGAGTTAGTGTGAGCTAGCTCACACTTTTTTAGCCTCCGGCTCACACATTTTTGTCTTATCTCAGGAAGGAAGGCTCCAGAGCAAACTAATTGATGCAATAGGCAAATCGCCTGCTCACAACTTTAATTCCAGTAGCTCACAAAGTAGAATCTTTGCTCACAAGACTCCACAGCTTAGAGGGAACATTGGTCTGGAGATAGTTTGCATTTCCAGAATTTTAGTTGGGAGAAAATCTGTCTGAGAGGCTTTGGAAGTCTCAGAACATGTTTTTTGGGATAAAGCAGGCTAGCTTGAAGAAGGGACTGAAGCTGTCTTGCAACCCCAGTTTCTGAGGGAACCCAGTGAAGGATTTGTGGTTTTTGAGAGGAGGCGACATTGACATTGTGAGAATCCTGAGGTTGAGGGAAGGCCATTATCCACCTCAAGAATAGAAACTTGACTGCTAACTGCTCTCTTCTCTCAACTGTGTTACACCTGGGAAAAGTTTCTGTTCTCTTTCTCCTGTCCTTGGAAGTAAATAAAAGTTACTGTTGTTTTTCTGTTTTCATTATGGATGCTGAACTTATTTTATTCAGAGGACACTTGAGTTAAGTCTGTCAAATGAAGGGCTGCGGTAGAGGCCACACTAGTCAAACTTTCCATCCTGCCAACTTTGTTTAAATGTCATTCTTAAGACCCTGACCTTCATACCATAGAAACCTAATTAAGCAGTTGTCTGGATTGTCTTGATTTGGGCTGGTTTAGAAAGCCAGAGGTGAATCATGATGATAATCCATGTTCAAGGTTTGAGGCAGTTACTGGAGCAAACCTAGGGCAGCATATCAAGAAGTCTGTGGTTAGTTGTATATGCTGTCCCCTCTCAAGCTGTATTTACAGTAGTATTTATTTGATTGAGTTAGGCAGAACCAAGCATGAAAATGCATTAATAACATTTAGGAAACTTTAAAAAAAATTCACAGTTAAACATCAGCTATCTAAATATTTGTATAACAGCTTATTGGTGGCAGAACTTTTTCACTGATCAGTAGATCAGTTTATAAAGTTGTTTTCTGTGTGTGTATTTTTTAGAAGTAAAATCTGGAACAGAAGAAGGGAGTTTGAAACCTGTGGCCCTAGACACTGAATCTAATATGGAAAACACTTCTTTGGGTATGTGAACTTTTTTCATTTACAGAAGTGGGTAACTTATTAAAAGCTTATAGCCAGTAATAGACAATATTGATTGGTAATTTGTTTTTTTAAGAATCCAAATGAATATGCTGCTTTTCTAGAACATTTTTATTATTATTTATTCATTTATTCTGTTTATATCCCACCCTCCCTGCCGAGGCGGGCTCAGGGCGGCTCACATATAATTACATAAATAATCATGAATATAAATATAAATTAATCATTTAAAATCCTCCTGGAACATTAGAACATGGTAATAAAACATTGGAACAAAGTTAATAAAAGCGAGAGCCAGATTATTTATATTTATATTAGTGATGTTTATCTTTGGGGGGTAATCCTTATTCAGTTCACGTGAACAGGTAAGCACATAGCCCCTTAAGAGCCTTGTACATAGGCAGCAGTCATATGCTTTCTGCGTCAGTCATCTTGTTCATTGCCTGTTGCCTGTCATGGGGACTGTCTGTTGCCATGGTACCTCTGCAATCGGCACAAGACTCCTGTGGTGACACTACCACTTCCCTCTTGGCTTTATGGCAGTCAGCCAGAAAGACAACAGGCATAGCAACTGACATACTGCCAAGATAAAGGAAATACATCATATCGTTATAGGGGCTGTATGTACACTCTGTGTTTATCCTACCCTAAAAGTTTAGTGGCCATCCACTTCAAAACACCGGAGAAGAGATTAACCCCCCCCACCCCCCATGATCAATCCCCAGAAGTAAGCCTGTGCTTCAAGAAAATGCTATAGATGGCTTCTGAGATGTCTGAGGAAGACCTAGTTAGCATCAGACAGGACAAGTGAACATAAGAGTTGCACTTGGGGCTGTGTTTGCTGTAATGAGGTTAGTGGCTACTTCAAAGTCTTGCAGGCCACACTCTGCACTCCTTCAAGTGTTGGTCACAGGAAGAAGATAGTGGAAAACAAACACTTAAAACATACAAATAATATGATTTCTATTTAGCAGCTTTGGATGACAAAGGTGAGCAGGGCAATGAAGAGGAACAAAAGACCGTTAAACCCACTAGTAAGGAGTTCAAGAAGACGTGGGGTTTTCGGAGGACCACGATTGCAAAGCGCGAGGGCTTAGGGGATACAGACATGGACGTTGCTGAACAGCAGCCCTCTCCGCAGCAACAGAGCTTGGCCCTTAGGCGTAGTGGGCGACAGCCCAAGCGCACTGAACGGGTAGAGGAATTCCTTACAACGGTGAGGCGCAGAGGGAGGAAGAACCTTCCTGCCGCGCTTGAGGACTTGAGTGAGCCAACGTCCTGCCAAGTTACGGACATTGAGACGGCTTCTGAAGGTAGCGTAGAAAGCTTGACAGAGATAAAGCCTGCCTCCCAGAAGTGCCACTCCAAGGACAGCAAGGGCCAGTCAGCTCAGAAAGGCAGGAGCACCAAAGAAGAAGAGGAGGAGGAGGAAGAGGAGGGCACCTCTGACAGCGACAGTGACGGGTTGACCTTGAAAGAGCTTCAGAACCGCCTGAGGAAGAAGCGCGTTGAGCAAAAACCCTTAGAGCTGACTTTAAAAGAGTTGCAGAATCGCCTCCGAGGAAGGCAGCCCCCGCGGAGCGCTGCTGCTGCTCCGATCGATGCCCAGGCAGGCAGTCAGGTTAAAGGCGAAGCAGCTGTGAAGCAAGAGCCCAAGAATACAGAGGACATTCAGGGCAGAGATCAAGACGTTGCCACTGAGGAAGTTGCGGAGGAGGTTCAGGTGAAGGAGGAACCTCCGGCACAGTCGGGCGGCGGAGCTGAAGGATCCTTAAAGAGCAAGTCAGAATCTGAGGGTTATGACCCCAGTGCTCTGTACTGTATCTGTCAGCAGCCTCATAACAACAGGTATTTACAGGCAGTGTTTTTACTCTGTGTGTGTGTGTGTGTGAGGATTGAGTACAAATCAAAGGAAACGTTTATTTACAAAGTGTGGCCTCTTAAGACCTTGATTGCCAAAACGTAGATGTGTGCAGCTGCTGTAAAGCATGAGACAGTCATTGTTCTGCACCAGTTGACCAGGAGTGTGTGCCGCCAGGAAGTGTACTAGCAGGTCCGTCACTGTGGTGGGGTATTTCGTGGCCTCAGAAGTTAAAAGCCCCATGCCAGAAACCTTATTTTTGACCATGACCTGGGTGGTCCTGGGCTAGCAGAAAAGGGGGATTGTTGAAGTTGTATTGAAGGTTCCCCTTCTAAACTTCCTTGCCCTGTGGAAGGGAACTCAGAAGAGATTTAAATGCCTTCTGGAGGCAATTGAATGCCCTCATGTTCCCCCCCCCCCCCCAGGAAGTGACACGCCTGCTGCCCTGTCCTTTGAAAGGAAGGGCTAGAGGCAGGCCCAGAGCCCTCCCCCCTTAAAGGCAGGCATTCATTTTAATTTAATTAACTGTAATTTAACGGCCCCTTAAAAATTTAAATAACCTCCGAACACAAAAAAATCCTGGCTACCGGCCTGTGTGCGAGAGGGTATCAGAGACTTCGTTTTCATCGTTAAAAAAACACAGATGGGAGGTAATTTTGAAGTCTGTGTTTTGTAGCCTCTTGTGGAGAAGGAAGTTTTATAGAATGGGAAGGATCACGTAGAGGGGAAGGAGGAGACTAGATTACTAGGATGAAAAAGACGAGTATCTGATACTGTTTCAAACTGTGTTCTGTTGCTGTATATGTTTGGACTGAAATCAGTTTTTTCAAATGCTCCCACGTTGCTACCGGGGGTTGGGGGGACACTTCAGTAGCTGCTGAGCATGTTGTGAGGGGGAAGAATAATCATGGGAAGGTTAGTTCCCACGACACTGTGGAATGAATGGATGGGCCATGAAGGCTGCGGGGCTATCGAGGAAGCAGAGAAGAGGCTGACTCCACGGTTGGGCATGAGTGGCTTTCACAGAGGAGCAGGGGGTCGGGCGGGAGCCACGATGGAGAAAACGTGTACAGGCGGTTGTTGAATTTGCGAAGTTGTTGTGATGGAACGTAGAGAGAGGTGGTCCCGCAAACAAGAGGGGCTAAGGACATGGAGGGCCTTGTAGGTGATGGCCAGTAGTTTAAACTGAGCGCAGTAACTGAGCAACCAATGGAGTATATCTGCAAAATGGGAGTAATAGGTTGTATGTGTGGTTTCCCCGTTGTGGTTCCTGCCTTACGCAGTGGCCTGCCTCAGAGGTCAGGAAAGTTCCCACTCTCCTGGCTTTCCACAAACTGCAAAACTAAACTACTCAAGAGGGCTTTTCTGCACAGGTGGACACATGAACACATGAAGCTGCATTATACTGAATCAGACTCTTGGTCCATCAACGTTCAGTATTGTCTAGTCAGACTGGCAGAGGCTCTCCAGGATCTCAGCCAGCGGTCTTTCTCACTACCTACGGTCAGGGGCCATGGCTCAGTGGCGGGGCATCTGCTTTTGGCAGGCAGAATGTCGCAGGTTCAATCCCAGGCATCTCCAGTTAAAAGGATCAGGTAGTAGGTGGTGTGTGAAACTGCAAAACTGAACTACTCAAGAGGGCTTTTCTGCACGGGTAATAGGGTTATACTGCACAAAATTGTTTGTTCATTTAAGACACCTTGCCAGTATTTTTTTCAATGTTTTACTTCTTTAGATTTATGATTTGCTGCGATAGATGTGAGGAATGGTTTCATGGGGACTGCGTAGGGATTTCAGAGGCTCGTGGACGACTGTTGGAAAGAAACGGGGAGGACTATATCTGCCCAAATTGCACCATTCTGCAGGTTCATGATGAGTCAGCCACCGAAACTCAGCAACGAGAAACTGTGCTGGGGCAGTTAACAGGCGATGGCACGGAACTCACAAGCATAGGGACAGTTGAGCAAAAGTCGAGCGAGGACCAAGGCATCAAGGGTCGGATTGAAAAGGCTGCAAATCCAAGTGGGAAGAAAAAACTCAAAATATTTCAGCCAGTGAGTATTTTCTCCATTTAAATGTACAGCAGTGTTAGGTTTCTAGTGGAATGCATAAAGATTCTGATCCAAAATTGAACGACCAAAATTGAACGAGTGAAGCCAGCACTGTGGGTATAACTTTGTATTTTGGGGGATGTTGGGCGTTACATTTCATGTGGCTCAGATCATGCCATTTGAGCAGAGGGAGGGAGTTTTCCACTTCCCATTTTGCTGAAGGTTTTCCGGTCACAGTCCCTGTGAGCTTTCTGTTTTAGTCGCTTGTCTCTTTCCCTGCCATTTCCCATCTAGAGACACTGATTGGGGGGGATGCACTTCGAACTTTTTAATTGTCTCCCCTTTCCTCGTAATTGCTCACCTGCACAATATGCATTTTTGTTAAAAGCATAAGAAGGGGGAAAGGCACAAAATAATGGATTGGACCTTGTAAATTTGCAGAGGTAGATCTTCCTCCCCCTTCCCACAACATCGTGCCACAGTGAGGTGTGTGCATTTGCTGCCAGGCTCCCAAGTGTTAAAGATCGCGGAGCAAGCTCTCCCCTAATTCTGCATGAGGGCAGGGGAGCAGTTTTGTCCAGTTCCCCATCCTCATAGCAGCCTCCTCTACCCTTGCATGGCATCTTCTCGTACAGGTTTAGCCTTTGGCTTTTCATGGGTCATGGGGGATGCTTGAAGGAAAGTGGGGAAAGATCAGCGGTTGGCAAACTCCCATGGGTAGGCGAACTGTAGGAATCCCACCCATATAGTATGCACAGCCCTCTCCATACATTTTGCAACACAACATAGTCTTTGTTTATTAGTGTTAAAAATGAGACAGATAATTTTGACACTTCTCTAATGCCTCATCTCTGTTGGAAAGTCACTCTTTATTTGCTAATCCTTAGTAAGGTTTCTATGTGTAGAGAGTTTCCACTACTATGAGTCTTTCTTTCAGAGCCTGTGAAATATTAACAGGGAGTTCTGGCATTTATATTAAAGTAACAGAAGTGTGTCAAAATCTAAACCAAAATCTTCCAATTTCTTGTTTAACAATTTACCTTGCAGACTCAGCATGGGTTCTGTATGGGAAGATCTTGTCTCACTAACCTGTTAATGTTCTTTGAGGGGGTGAACAAACACGTGGACAAGGGGGATCCAATAGATATTGTTTACTTTGATAAAGTTCCTCATCAAAGGCTCCTAAGTAAGCTCAAAAATCATGGGATAAAAGGACAAGTCCTTTTATGGATCAAAAACTGGCTAATTGATAGAAAACAGAGTGAGTATAAATGGGCAATTTTCTCAGTGGAGGGAGGTAAGCAGTGGGGTACCACAGGGATCAGTATTGGTCCACTGCTTTTTAACTTGTTCATTAATGATTTGGAGTTGGGGGTAAGCAGTGAAGTGGCTAAATTTGCAGAGGCTGATCAAGAGAGAGATCTTGGAGTTGTAGTAGATAACTCACTGAAAATGTTGAGACAGTGTGTGACTGCAATAAAGAAGGCCAATGCTATGCTGGGGATTATTAGGAAGGGTATTGAAAACAGATCAGCCAATATAATAATGCCCCTATATAAATCAATGGTGAGACCTCATTTGGAATACTGTGTGCAGTTCTGGGCACCACACCTTAAAAAGGATATTATAGCTTTGGAAAAAGTGCAGAAAAGGGCAACTCGAATGATAAAAGGGTTGGAACACTTTCCCTATGAGGAAAGGTTAAGGCGCTTGGGGCTCTTTAGCTTGGAGAAACGACGACTGAGGGGTGACATGATTGAGGTTTATAAGATTATGCATGGGAAAGAGCAGGTAAAGAAAGAGGTACTTTTCTCCCTTTCTCACAATACAAGAACTCGTGGGCACTCCATGAAATTGCTGAGCGGTCGGGTTAGAAGGGATAAAAGGAAGTACTTCTTCACCCAAAGAGTGATTAACACTTGGAATTCACTGCCACAGGAAGTGGTGGCAGCTACAAGCATGGATGGGTTCAAAAGGGAATTAGATAAGCATATGGAACAGAGGTCCATCAGTGGCTACTATTAGCCACAAGGTATAGATAGGGGCTCTGGGGCAAGTGATGCTCTGTCTTCTTGGTGCTTGGGGGGGTCAACAGTGGGAGGGCTTCTAATGTCCTGGCCCCACTGGTGGACCTCCTGATAGCACTGGTATTTCTGGCCACTGTGTGATACAGAGTGTTGGACTGGATGGGCCTTTGGCCTGATCCAACATTGGCGTCTCTTATGTTCTTATCTTATAAAGCAAGTGAAAGCTGACCAGTAGAAAAGCTGGAGACAATGCAGATTTTTTTCTCTCCCATATTTGATGGGTAAACAGATACGGTTCCGTATTCTAGAGAAAAACTCTCTCAAAATAGGTAAATAACACTTGTCTCAATTACACTTTATCCTTTATTCTGGGATGATAATCTGGCGTGTGAAAGATAACAAATGACCAAACTCACAGAGCTGGTCCAAAGACCTGGTTACCTTCTGTTAACTTTTGAGAAATTGTAGGTGGTGAATACTTCTGGTAGTTGAAATATTATGTCTTAAGTTTTATTTGTTACTTGTTTTGATGTATGATTTTCTGATATGAATACTTCAGTACCTATTTTCTATAGGTTCAGTGTTTTATGATCTAGTAACAGATTTGGACACATTCCAACTTTTATTTAATGGCTGCAACTGTTTTTATTTTATGTAAAACATCTGTATCCTGCCTTTCTACCCAATTAAGGCCCTCAGTTATTTAAAAGGCATTAGAAACTACCTTTAAAAACTAGTACACGTATGTAAGCTAAAAATTAAAGCCAACAAGGAGGGGGTCAGTAAGGGAATGCTAGAGGAAATAGAAAAGTTTTCACCCCCTGGTGGAATCACTGGTGGACGGTGATTGGGAGGATAGATGAATGTTCCATAATTTCGGTGCAGTGACCAAGAACATTACCATGCCTCTAGCTTCAGGTGCCAGGAACACCCAAAGCAAAGCCTCTGATGATGGTCATAATGGTTGGGGTAGGTTTGTATGGGAGTAGCTATAGAGGTCCCAGGCTATACATGGCTTTAAAGACCAATACCAGCACCTTGAGTTGGGCCTGGAAACAGAACGGAAGTTAGTGCAGCAGAACGGAATAGTCCCACCATTTTTGTAGGTGGTTTTGTCTACCTGAATTGTAATTTATAGGGGACATTTCTTTCCCTAATTATACTAGTAGTTAGCTTAAAGCTAATCTCTGTGTGGTGAATCCATGCTGATGTGTGGAATAACAATTCATGGGAGCAGTCACGTCATGTAAGGTTTTTGAAATATGCTGAAGGAGCTGTCGCGAATGATGCATGAAATCCCTATTGGCCTTGCTTGTGAAAGGTGCCCTTGGGTCTTCCATGAGGACTTGTTCCCTATATTACCTTGCGTAGTCAGGTAGACTGCTTGCTTGAACACACGTGAATGTCTGTTTGGCCCACTTGACAATAACCTGTGAATTGGTTCTTGGAGGCATCCTTCGAGAGAACCATTTCTCTGTCACATCCTACAGCAAGAGGTATGAATCTTTGGGAAACATGCTGGCTTTTAGTTTCCTTACAGGCTTTTATTGTAATGGTAGAAACATATTGGGTTGTATCCCCCAAGACCCTTCCACCAGTAGCGGTGATTTCCTGCGGCACAAGGAGCCTCAGGGGACAGCTTCTTGCTCCCGAAGGTACCCAGCCACTGTGTTATGTGTGTGTACATCCTTTAGAAAATTAACTTCTGGTTAAAAGTTCTTCAGAAGATTCAGGCCCAGGGAGAGAACAATGCAGAGCAAGTTACTCTGTTGCAGAGTGAGATCTTGTGATAGGGCAATTTATCATTGTGAGCTGCCCTGAGCCCGCTTGCGGGAAGGGCGGGACAGAAGTCAAGATAATAAATAAATACATTAAAAGCCTTGGAGGTTTAAACATGTGAAGTCTCCCGGGTTTATACACTTTGGAATCTGCGTAAGCTTTGAGTGTCCCTTCCCACCGTAATACACTTCCTAAAAACGTAGTAAAACATTTTAGCACGGCCACTTTAAAAAAAGTCCTAAATAAAAACATTAAAATAAAAGTACCCTTAATACCAGAGTTATTCTTATTGAATATGATCCCAGATGATATTAAAAAATACAAACACATAATCATACACATAATAACTGTGGCCAGAATATTAATTGCAAAAGGATGGAAATCAAGTACTTTACCCTCATTAAAAGAATTAAAGAATAAGATCTTAGAAATAGCAGAAATGGACAGAGTCAACATGAAGTTAAAACAGAAACCAGAAGATAAATACTGGGAAAGATGGAAACCTGTATATAAATGGTTAGGGATAAAGAGAATTATGATAGGTGAGAGGCTAGCGTGAGAGTAGAGATAAGGGAAAGATATACAAGCGCAGAGCAGCACCATTTAACTAAAATCAAATTGGAACTCGTAAAGTAGGAGAGAAAGCATATGTTGTAGGAGAACTGTGATATATGATTTGATTGGATGTAATGTACTAGATATTGTTAAGAGGTGTGAATTTTTGTGGAAAACTGAATAAATAGACTTTGGGAAGAAAAAAAAAGTCCTGAAGTGGTAGCAAACTATTAAGAGAAAGTTTTACAAGGACATGACTGAACTTTGTCATGTGGTCAAGTAGCAAAGCCTGGCGGTTCACTGCTGCTGCTACAGTTGTTTCAGCCTTCTCGGTGTGGTGGGGTTTGAATGCTTTTCAGAATCTCTGTCAACTTCTTGTGTTGTCCTTCAGGTAGTTGAAGAGCCTGAAGCAGCCAGTTGCATTGGACCTGGTTGTTCTAATGTGGCTCAACCAGGTTCTGTGTACTGTGGACACGAGTGCATTATCAAGCACGCTACGGCCACTATGAAATTAATGAGTGAAAGCAAAGAACAGAAACCGAAAGAGAAGATAAGAGTGAAAGTTGAACGATCTGTTGTCCAGAAATCCCAGCCTCCGGTAAGTTTTGAAGCAAATCTCTTCATGCGTAGAATATGTTTCCTATGTGATATGCTGCCACCTTGAGGTTTCAAATTATTCTTTAAACGGGTTTGCAGATATTCTTAACTCACATGATTAATAATAAGTAGGCAGTGTTCTGTGGTAACATTCTTAATGCAAGCTTAGTGCAGGAATGACATATTGATACCCGCCCTTCTTGACAAAATGGCAGAACTTGCAATCTTCCCAACTAAGTGTCCACATCTCTGAGTAACAACTACTGTCCCTTCCTGTAAGAATATTCAATTTTTTGCATCACTACTAAAAACCTCACTCTCTGAACTTAAAAAAATTAACCATTTTCAGACAGACTGCTTTGTGGGGAGGGCGGGGTACAAATCAAATGAATAAAATAAAAAATAAAACAGTTTGTTGAGAAACAATAACATTACTTTGGAAAGTACCATCAGTGCCTTATTGACACATGAAGATTCACGGTTTCTGTATGTTAATGTCCATCTAGGTGCACAGTGCTGATGCTTCCAAAGTACTACCCCTTGCCCCAACTGCAGAGAGCATCCAGTTGAAACTTGGGCATATCTTGTGGGCAGTTACACTGAACCGGGCAATTGCCTTGCTGTAGCATCGCAGTAACTAGAATAAACGCTAGGTTCTTTGCCAGGCTTTTGTGTACTTGTATGTTCCAGTTGGAATGAGCTTGAGTCAAATTCGTAACGTTCGTAATCGTTTAGTGTTTTAGAATGTCCAAAGCTTTTCATATTAAAAACATAAAGAGCAGTCTTTTTTGGTCCAGCCAAGGATCCCTCTAACCTGGTGTCCTGTTTGTAACATCGGACACCCAGAGGGAAGCTGACAAGCTGGACATGGAGACTGCAGCCCTCCACGGAGACTGAAGCCATTTGCTCCCCCCCCCCCCCAAACCTGGTTTCCAGGGGAAATCCCCGAAGCAGAAACCCATTTCCCCCCCCCCCCCCCAAACCTGGTGTTCAGAGGTATACTGCCTTTGAACATGCAATCTTATTCCCACATTGTAGCTGGGGGCAGATGGGTAGGGTTGAGGCCAGGAGATGGTGGCTTATTCCAAGGCTACCTGGTCAGTTCGTGGCAGAGGAGAGGGTTTAACCCAAGGGCTTTGTGGGGCACGGCTTATTCTCAGCTGCTCTTTAGTTCTTTCTGCCCTGGGTATTTATAGGATGCATTTTTCTACCCCTGCTGCGCTGTAAATGGCAGACACACATCTGAGTGGAAGAATTTTAGGACTGTAGCTGAATTATTGTCCAGGAATTCAGCTTAAAGTATTTAGATGGCATAATGATATTGTTAACAGGCAGCTGGATAGTGCTGTGCTGTTGATCTTTGGGATTCTAGACCGGTCCAGTAATGGACATAATAAAGCTGTGGGGTCTTTGCTCCAAGTCTGGAGGTCTGACAGTTTCCATTTACAGAAATATAGATCCATAGTGGCTTCAATTCTGAATTCTGCTTTTGATGGTAAAAGTTCCCAGTTTCTTTTTCTTATATAGCTGTTCATGTTAGAGCATCCAGCTCAATACTTGAGGTCCAGAACGGTAACACTTGATTTTGTTGCATGACATGTGTGCAGAACTTCATAAATACTTGACCCAGCTTTTATAATTACAATGCTTAGTGATTCAGGTTCTGCTGATTACACAGGCGGGTTCCAAACCTCCCTCCGTACAGAAGAAAACTGCTCCTGAGAAAAGAGAGATGGTCGTGAAGAAAACAGCGGTGGCAGCCCTTAAAACCGAAGGCAGTGCTCAGACAGTTGCTAAAGAGCAGCCAGCCCCAGAAAGCAGCACTCCGTCCTGGGCAAGCGATCATAATTATAATGCAGTAAAGCCAGAAAGGACTCCTGCCATTTCATCATCACTGTTGTTCAAATGTATGTATCTCACAGGGATATTCCTCCGCAGTCGTTTACCGTTTCCTTGGTCACTTCCCCCACCTTTTGACTCTGCAAAGTTAGAAGGGGCTTTTAATTATTCCCTCACCTCCTCCCCATCTTCAGAGATTGCACACGTACCTCTCAAGAGCTTTGAGGCTCATACATGTTATTGGCAACTTGGGATTTATTCACAGGTTGTGTATACAGATGACTTTTGCAGGCATATAAGAGCAGGTTAACTTACATAATGCTCTCCATAGGTAATATCTATATCTCTAGGTAAGTACTGTAGGTAATGCTGTCTGCTGATTTCTGAAGGTTCTAATGTACAAAGTAATGGTTATGCTCACTTCAATGTTAGTCCCTGTCCACCTTTGCATTTTGGATTGGGAATGCCAACAAACAAAGGAATTCTAAACGATTCTGAATAATTTACATACACGCACAAATACACAAGTGTTAGCTGTCAGTTCTGGGGAGAAATCTTCTTTCCAAGCAACTGACTTAATGTAAGGATGCTTGTTTCTCTCTCTCTCTCTTAAAAAAAAAAAATTGTACGTTTTGTATGCTAGGCAGGCTGTCTTCCAGGCATATTACCTTATATTATAATTTTGCAGTACCTGAAGAACATCCTTGGGCTCATGTTAGCTTGTAAAGGTAAGTAAATGCTTTGCAGTGTAGAAAGTCTTTGTTCTTTTAAGACCTTTTTATTGTCTCCACTTAAACAAAGCTGCAGTGTAGCATTTGTTTTCCCATGTATCGCACAGTGGAAGGTAATTGAATCTGATTTTAATTTTATATCTGCAAGGGTCTGATACAAGGCTCTGGGTGGGCATCCTTTAGAAAAGGTGAAAGTATTATGTCTACCACTAAAATAACTTCACCATTGTCCACAAAATTGTAAATGCTTATATGATAACTACATCTTACATGACCATGAGAAGATGGCTTTGGTGAACCTCTGGAGGGACGAAGTTCCAAGGCTGATGAGAAGCTACCGAGAACCCTTTTCTGCCTGCCTTCATGTTTTTGGGTGTGGCACACACACAGATGGATCTCACTGGAGTGGGGGAAGGACGGGGTGGAGTGTGTGGGGTCCAAACCGCCTTTCCGAAGCATGTTAAGGTCCAAATGATTTGATTGGAAACCAGTGATAGTTTCCCCTCTCTGCTTCAGTAGCTTTCTGTTGTACATCTAACCAAGGTTCATAGTTCTCTACTTGTACAGTTATTTAGTTATATCTTGGTTTTGTCCCCAGTGGTGACCCAAAGGAGCATACAACATTGTTCTACCCTCCATTTTATCCTCACAACAACCCTGTGAGGTTTTTTAAATAATATACCCTACTTCTCAGACCTAGCTTCTGAGATGGCCCCATATATCAGTAAAGCAACTTAATGCTCCTTTCTTGATAAAAATGTTGGTAAAACTGGGTCATTGTTTACACAGTAAGATAAAAAAAAATACAACTGAATTAATTTGAGAGCGGGTTCATAGTTCTCTACTTGTACAGTTATTTAGTTATATCTTGGTTTTGTCCCCAGTGGTGACCCAAAGGAGCATACAACATTGTTCTACCCTCCATTTTATCCTCACAACAACCCTGTGAGGTTTTTTAAAATAATAATATACCCTACTTCTCAGATGTAGCTTCTGAGATGGCCCCATATATCAATAAAGCAACTTAATGCTCCTTTCTTGATAAAAATGTTGGTAAAACTGGGTCATTGTTTACACAGTAAGATAAAAAAAAATACAACTGAATTTGAGAGCAGGTAAACAATACAATTACTTACAAAGCACATCAGTCATATGGCACATCAACAACCTGAAAGAACGGACCAGTTAACTTACAGTTTACTTGACAGGAGAAGAGACTGTTGAGAAAGCTGATAACCAACAATGTAATCTTCATATAATTTTCATGTAAGCTGTACATTAGAGGCTTAACACCAAAACCAAGTGAGCATTTTTCTAAAGTACCGTAATTGGATAGAGTGTTGGGGTTGTTTTTGTTGTTGCTGCTGTGCTTAAAATTGGACAATATTCGATTCACTTTGTATTTAGTGAAGAGTGTTCAGCATCTCAAGAAGGTACCACCGTCAAGGTAAGTCTTATGGATGTCTTGAAATTCCTTGTATCACTGCTAAAACGACTAAATATATAAATACCTAGAACTCTTGTTTGAGGACACATCTGTATTACTAAATTGCCGGCTTAGTCCTGGTGCTCTGTGGGCCGTTGTGACTGATCGTCGTCGGAAGGAGTAGCGCTGGATCTGACACATGCGTCCGTGGAATTCTGTTGCTCACGCCCCTGTTTGAAAGACCCAGCAATATTGTACAGTCAAGGCACTCTGTGTTTTGTATTAGACACACTGTACTACCCTGAACTCCAACCAATTTTGCATTTCTTTGATTTCTTCACAAGCGTGTAAAATAACATGCCTTCATTCTCTCTGCTCTCTGCCTAGAGTGGGTGCCGATGGCCCAATGCAGATGCAGCAGTCTCTGCACTCCAGTGCCTCTGTGTCATTGTTCATCTCCCTGAGAAACACTCTTTAGCTCCACTGAAGTTTTAACTAGACATTAGACACAGGGATTGCACTAGGCCTCCCTTCCAAAAGATCACTTAATTACTCTGGAATGGTTTACCGTCTGATCCATTCGGTTCTGCTGAGTTACTGTAGACTGCATCTGGTGGAACACAATGTACTTGAAGCTAACACAGGACAATCCAGTGCCCTGGGAGACTGTGAAATTGGAAGAATAGGGGAGAATATGCTCCTGTCCACAGGAGCCATCATGTGATCAGCATAAGTGGCTGATCAGCAGGCTACAAAAAAAGATGAAGCCGTAGCTTAGCGCTGTATCCTTTTTGAGGTAGCCCAAGTACCTTGCTGTTCACTACCCGATGTTATTTAAACATGAACTTAATTCATGGGGTCAGTATCTGTGTATATAAGAAAGGCAAGTGGGGGCTGGTTTCCCCATCACCACACATGCACATGACTAGAGCTGAAGTTTCTTTTGAGATTGTGTCCCACTTTTCCTCCAAGAACATTGGAGTAATACTTATGTACCTCATTTGTAGCTTGCCTTTCTTGCTAAAAATCAAGACAGATAGGTGGTGGAGAGTGCCATCAAGGGACAGCCGGCACACGGCGGCCCCATAGGGTTTTCAAGAGACGTTCAGAGGCGGTTTGCCATTGTCTGCCTGCACGTCACAACCCTGGTATTCCTCGGAGGTCTCCCGTCCGAATACTGGCCAAGGCTGGCCCTGTTTAGCTTCCGAGATCTGATGAGATCGGGCTAGCCTGGGCGATCCAGGTCAGGGTCAAGGCAGGTTGCATAAGACAATACAGTACACAATGCATAGGATTAGCATTACAGAATTTGAAACAATGCAAAAAAACAAACATAAGACACCATGACATGGGTTCAGTTACAAAGGGTAGGAGACAATGCAGCAAAAGTGAGGGGGATACATACAGTAAGCATAGGCGACAGTCATATTCCCTTATAAAAGCCACCCCCTGAGCTATTCCATTATACTTCAGTTCTAATCTCTTTGGGGGAAAATGCTCTTTTAGATAATTTGGCACATTCTGTGAAATGAACCTTCCTGATCACCTCGGGCAAGCTGTTCCACGAAGGCTGAGCCACCACAGATATGCATATACACACTAGGTGTTCCCATTGTATCTGCATAATAAGCTACTTGAGGTGGAATTTAAACTAGAGTTCTACGGGCCCAACAGCCTAGCTTCTCCGTCATATTGCTTGCATTCATTTACTTAGGCTATATATAGTAAATAAGTTCATAAATTCTTACTTCACAGGAGTAGTGGGATGGAGAATGCAGAATTTTCAAACCTTAAGGATGCTCTTGAGTACGCAGTTTAAACACTTAAAGCTAATCAACCATGCCCTCTTGCTGTACTGCTGTATGTATCTGTATCCTGTGTCAGCATTTCCACTGCAGCCTTTTAAGGTGGATCATTAGTGAACTGGGCAGGATTTTGTTTTGTTCAGATACTGTGTTGTTCTGTAGTGATGTCATACATTCTTGGCCCCGAGAAAGCTTCAGGGCACACACAGTCAAAACAGAGACGGTGGCACAGAAAATCCCAGTAATTACATAAAATGATTCAGGAGGGTACAATAAACATATTACAGAACTACCCAGTTGTTCCTGCAAGCGGACATAGTGCCACCCACTGGAGAGAGATAAAACTTGGCAATTTCTCTTCTCTTGCTACTCTGTCTAGAATCAAAACATCAACCCTAAGATTGAAAATCTGTGTTTAATTTTCACATACCAAGTGTTTGTCTTATACAACAAGTAAAAGAAGTCACAGTGCTTCTGGCTGTAAAACATTGTTTACATGTGGCTCTTCTCCCCACCCCCCTCTTTGTAAAACATAGATGTATATGGGTAGTTGGGGATTAAAATTGTATTGGGTTAGTGGAAAAATTGACAGACTTGGAAACAAAAAAAGCAATAATAAAATTAGGAGTAAGGATATTTATTCATTTAAAATACTTTTATGTTACCATTCTACTTAGGGTACCTAAATTGATGAACATGACATCACTTGGACATTAAAACAACATTGGGAATGCAGTATAAAATCATTCAGTGAAAACATATGAACACACATTAAAGCCCAAATGTGCTATATGAAGGCCAGTGGTACCATGAAGCTTCAGTGTATTTATCTTGATTCGGGGCAGTCTTCAAGGTAGAGGAGGAAAGGCAAGTTGGCTTTAAAATGCCTCACTAAATTGGCTCCAGAATGGAGCTCTCTGGGCTGATGTTGTGATGTTTATAACCTTGAATGCTGAAGATAAGATTTTTTCTAAGACATACTAGTCATAATGTGAACAGTTTTCCATTATGCACCGTAAAAGTTATATTCAGTATTTGAAATCAGCTGGTACATAAATGAAGGAGCAGGACAGACCTCAAAATGTAACCAAAATATTCTAATAGAGCGTTCGGAGATCATTGTAGTTCTTAGATCCCAGGAGGAAATAAAGAATCCCCCCCCCCCCCAAAAAAGCGGTTGGTGTTTCCCAAACGCAGGGTGCTTGTTCAGATGAGAGTTTGCGAGGCAAGAAGGCTAGTGCTGATGGGAACAGATGGTTTCTCTGACAGTAGTCTTTGATCAGTCAGTCTTTTGTTCTTACCTGAACAAAAGTCCATTGCGTTCTAGAGCACTTGGACATTTCATCGTAGGGTGTGTAGAAGAAAAAACAGTTGCCCGGGGGGGGGGGGGTTGCAGGGGAGGTAGTGTGGTCCAATTCAGACATGCTGTTCCACTTCAGCCCTTCATTAATCAGATTCTGAGTACAATGGAAGAGTGATTGTTACTTGGTATAGTACTTTCCATATTTTTATGACTTATCTCCAAAAATTGGCTTGCATATCTAATTAGAACTCTCCCCACCTCCCCCAATAAAAAAGGGTTCTCTGTGCTGGTGTTGCGCCTCTCCAGTATTAGAGACAATGGTGCAGATCCTGACTGCTGGTGGCTTCTTGCTGTGCCTGAAAGCAGTGAACAGGAGCTGAAGATGGCCTCCAAGGAGCTACATTTTCAAGACCTCTCCACGAAGACTTAAGCAGTGGGATGCACCATATATTGCAGGAGAAGGTGTATAAGCTGCAGAGTCACCTGCTCACCTGGTGTTGGGTAGGAGTGTGTGAAGACGGTCTTTGTCCCACAGGCTGATGAGAGTCTTAACGTCTTAATGAAGACATGGTGGTAGAATGTTCCCCAAGATAAAATGTTGCATAGGCCTTTGGTGCCAGGCGTCACCTGTTGGGTGCTCCATTTGCAATTGGTGCCATCGTGGATGACTGAGGAAGAAAAACAACTGGGAGGGGGCATTCTTCCCTGTCCCCAGCAAATCACAGCAGTCATGTCTTGATAAAAGTTCCTCGCACACCACATTTAACCAGTTCCATTATTCTAAGCGTTAGGAGAAAAGCTATATATAGCAAACATTTAGATAGAAAGCCATAGTTTATCAATTTGTACCACTTACAAAGAGCATATTATCTCCTCAGCCTCCTCTTGTGAGGCTTGGGGTGTGTGGATTGCAGAATACAAAGATAGCAACTTTTTTTTTGACCAGAAACACACGGTAATTGGGGGTGTGTGGATTGCAGAATACAAAGTTGGAACCTTTTTTTTGACCAGAAACACACGGTAATTGAAGCAGATTAATGACATTTCTGTGAACCGAACGTTCAGGGCCACAAGAGGGTGCTTGAGTGGTGCCCTTCATGCAAATGCTGCTTCTAGGAGCTTCTGTTGCTCCACAGTGTTGCGTGCTTCTCCCAGCAGTGTGATCAAGCAGCAGCAATACTCGGAAGTGTTACAGTGCGTGGTAAGTAGTCTTGTGAAATGTCTACAGCATCTCCCATGACTTTTGCTATTTTTCAACTGTATCAGTTGGGCTTTTTTTGTAGTTTTCAAACATTCTTCCTGCCAGAACTCAAGCCCACCTTTTGTGTTATGAAGATAGAGGATTATGGTATTTTGTTTTGTTTTTTGTGCATGGGGATTAGTCATTCCTGGAGGAAATACCTTCACTTCGCCGTTCAGTGAACAGCTAATCTGCCATTGATTTCTCGAGGTTCAAAATGCAAGAAACCCATAACACGATGCAAAGCAGGTTGTGGAGCTAATTCCCATCACATTCCCGTCCGCTCCAGCTGCTGCTTTATTTAATTAGGCATACTTGTGGTCCTGAATATTTCAGGAGATGAAAACGCCTTTTAGTTTTTGTGTTTTTGACCATGCAGTGTTAGTAAGATCTGCCTCCGGGGGTGTGTTTACCTTTGGTGGTGAACAGTTCAGCCTTGCATTTGTGAATTCAGGGCAGTAAACAAGCTTTGAGGTGAAGGGTGGGAATGAGAACAACGTTCTCACTGCTGTGGATTGCTAATTTCTCTCTTTGAGACCAGCAGAAATTGCAATAAGGCCTGTGGAGGTTTCCCATCTGCTGCATGAACTTGCACTCCAAGGCCCCTCGGAACATACATGCAAGACTCCCACAAACCACCTGCTGTGAATTAATCTAACTGATGGTTGCAGTTGAGATCCTGCAGACATTATTTCTTTAGAAATCTGCCAACTAATGTAACAGCTTTTGTGCGCCTTGGGCAAATGTCCGGTTTCTGAACTCAGTGTGCTGTTCAATTGGAACAGTGGGCTGAATTCAGCTGCCCCATTCCAGTTACCCAGGTGGTTACTGAGGAGCTTCAAGAGATCAAACAGGTTGAACAGGTATCACATACCTTGAAAAAGGTATTGGCCTGAGATTCAGCGCTAGTTTGTACCATGGTTGCCATCACCATGCTCAATTGCATGGTGTCCAGTCACCACGGGCAGCTATGTATGAGAAGCGGTTTCATGTAGTGGGGTGGTGCTTTAACCATATTGCCAGCTGTTGTATGACTGTGCTGATGTGGTTAAAACTGCCACTCCATGTGAAATCTTTCATACACAACTTCCCAAACAATTTCAAGTCCGTGTGATCAGTCAGAGTAGCCCTGCCACAAAGGTAA